TGTTTGTTGATATCAAACAATCGAATACTAAGAAAACTTGGTTTTATTGGTTTACTTGGATTTAATTCTTGAAAAAGTGATTGATATCTTTGGTTTTGCAACAAACATTACTTATTCTTAACATTAAGGTGAGGTTCTATCAATAATCTATGGATACTTCACCTGAAGTCGCCGCCCAAGCTGTGGCTTTTATTCAGGCCGGACACAGCCAAAGAAACGTGAGTGCTCAACTTAATTTAAGTCGATCTGCGGTCCGAAATGTTTATCGGAGGTAACTAGAGACTGGCGGCTTTGTTCGTCGCCAAGGAAGGCCACGATCTCGGGTCACAACTGAAAGGCAGGATCGATTCATCGTGACGACCAGCTTGAGAAATCGTCACCTTACCTCCATTGAGATACAAAAACAAATTTGCGACTTCCACGGAGTATCTGTGAGCGCTCGAACTGTTCGGAGAAGGTTAAAAGAACGCGATATGGTACCACACAAGCCAGCTAATGGGCCCAAACTAACGCGAGCCCACCGAACAGCGCGCCTTCATTTCGCACGCAGTCATTTAAATTGGACACAGCAAGATTGGAGCCGTGTACTCTTTTCTGATGAGTCTAAAATTGTGTTACATGGCAATGATGGAAGGAAGAAGGTCTACCGACGTAAAGGAGAGCGTTTCGCACAATGCTGCTTTGAAGAGAGGGTTCCTTATGGCGGTGGCTCATGGACTGTCTGGGGCGGTATATCCGCGAGCGGCAAAACTCAACTTGAGGTTGTTACAGGACCACGGCTGCCAACATTAAATGCTGAAAGGTACATTCGTGAGTGCTTAGAACCTCACGTGATACCATACGCGGACTATGTGGGCCCAAATTTCCTTTTTATGCATGATAATGCAAGAGCCCATGCGGCCGGCATCGTCAGGGAATATCTTCGGGATGTGAACATCACAGTTATGGACTGGCCAGCCAGAAGCCCAGAAATGAGCCCCATTGAGCACATGTGGTACGAGCTAAAATGACGTGTTAGGACTCGTCAGCCAGTTGCCCAGACGATGCAGGAGTTGAAAACTGCCATAGAAGAGGAATGGGAGATGATCCCTCAAAATTTCATAGAGCGGTTGATAAACTCTATGCCTAATCGTATGAGAGCTGTGGTAGATGCCCATGGAGGCAACACGCGTTATTAAATTAAACCTTTATTTGATAAAACATGTTTTTTATTCAAAAATCAATTGCCTTTAACAAGGCGCATATCCGACTTGTTAGGCGTAGCTCCATGTCGTAAGATATTCTGAATTCAAATTTAAAACAATACGATCGAAAAAGATGGTAAAACTGTATCAGGTTAAAAACTGCATCAACAGTTTTTGTTCAATCTAGCAATCATATTTCGGTAGGGGCCATCGAAACCTAAACTCTAAGGTGGGCCAATAGATGTGTCCAGAAGTGTATATTTTTAAGACCAATAATCGGTTACTAGATTTAGTTTTTGGTGTAAAGTGAGTCGATGTTTAGAGCCATTTGTACCTGAAGATGCTCATCATCCTGCATTGCAGTGTGACTTCCAGATTATAAATCCAAAACTTAAGTCCTACGCCTCGGATCGTTAAATTATTTGATAAGGCAAACTACTGTTTAATAAGTGAAGCCTTAATGGCAACTGACTGGTCTTATTTGTATAATCTGGTCTAATAGAAGACTTTGTTAATAAAAGAAAGCTCGTACCTATTGATAGAAGTGAAACATAAATTGCAGTGTCCTCCTTGGTTCACTCGAAGTTTAGTAAAAATTTAAATTCGATAAACTTTCTAAATTGTATGGCAGATTCAGGAGCTTCAATAATAGCTTCGAGCTTCTTCGTAATCGTCAAAAACTGGTGCAATCCATTTTTCCAGAGAGCCGTAGAGCCGTTTCTACTTTTACCAACGAATCAATGTTTTAATTATCTGTATCTGATACTGGCTGGTTTGACTTTGGATGGGAGCTGCGATTGCCTTTTGGATTTCAAGGTTTAAGTGGCCACACTAAATGCGCATGCGAGGCGGGCGCGGAGAGCGGATTCGTACGGTGGCCATAGTCACGCACGCACTCTTGTAGCGGTTCTACCTATATCGACCCTTCCAGAATGAAACGTAATAAAAGACAAAACGGTATTTTTCAATACGGCCAAAAAACAAAAACGGTGAAGTTTGTTTACCGTATATTTTTTGATTCGCTTAATTTATAATAAACCACTATAACTCATTAAGCTTAGGTTTTGGGTTGTTTACTAAAAAGAAACTCGGAATAGCCTACATTCATTAGTTCCAGAGATGGCATGGCTTTTACTACAAAAAACAAGTTGTAAATGGCTTCTACGACATTTTATTTCTGCTTGGCAAATGTAATCTTTTTTCCTTGAAGTTGTATAAGACTTCAAAAGTTGTTTCATTAAAGGGATTTTTGAATTAAAAGGCAATTGTGTAATAAGAAGAAAGTTTAATTTAGTGAAGTAAATGCAACACACATTTTTGACCAAAATCATATTTAACGTTTTTTATTATTTAAAGGTAATATTATACTTTGTCTGATAAACTCTAATAAAATTATCAAAATAAAATCAACACAAGCCCTAACTAAACTATGCGAAAAAAGATAAAAAATTAACAATAATCTCTTAAAACAATAATTTCTTTGTAATGCTAGGTAATTAGTATTTTTGAGGAAAACTGCGTAAGTACATTTTTCTAATCTTACATATCAAACTTTCTTAGGTTTGTTAACTAAAATAAAAGTTTGAGGATCTTTTCATCGTTGGAAATTATTGTAAATGGCACATTATTTTGTACTAAGAAGTTGTAATTTTATACGTATAAGAAAGAATAAACAACATACGTAACATATTATTCATTCATGTCTTCCTCTTCTTCGTCGGTTTTAATTTAAGTATCATTTTTATTGCCACTGTACGGCATCTCTATATAATCTTTGTGGAACCGTTTAGGAATCGCTCCGTCTGTGCACATTTTTTTAAATCTTTATACTTTAGTACTGAAATAGGAAGTTTGTCCGCATAAGACTGTTGCAAGTTTTTAGTTCTTGTAAATAGTTTGCATCTTGTCTTTGATTTATTTCAGGTTCTTCTGCTTTCATGCTTTTTCTCTTTCCTTTTCGTACGCGCAACCGACCAGCCGGACCAACGGCTCGACCTACCGAACGCGCGCAGTGTTGCCGTTTTATAATTTGAGAAAATGCTAACTTTTCGCCCGATAAATGCTAAATAAATTTTTTGAAGTGCTAAATAAAATGCTAATTTAATATTAAAGTATTTATTAAAAAGAAACTTAATCTTCTTATTCGAACAATATTTGTAGGTCGTCAACAGGTTCGTCTTGTTGTGACGTTGATGGGCCACTTTCTACAACTACATGTTCACCCTTAATACGTTTTAGCACGTCATCAGGAATAACATACTAATGGCAAAATTTGCCTGATCTTCGGAGTCCATATCTGACATGCAGAATTGAGTTTAATGTAAGTATTAAAGTATTAAAATCATAATTTAAATGCAAAATTATGTTACCGGTGGCAAAAGACTTAATTTCCATGGAATCGTCTTACAAAATTACTTTAACAAATAGTTCAAAGTTTACTTTTAAGTTGATGTGATTAGACAATGCAGTTTCGATTAAGTTTTGTAACTTAGTAGCAATAGAACGCAAGTAATAATTAGGGTCAGCAACAGCTACATCGGATCCGTCTGCATTATATTCACGTTCTGCGCGAATACGAAAAGCCGTGATACGTCCCCGGAATGCTGAACAAATTTTTTCAATACCTGTCTCAAGACATATTGCACTATTATTCTTATGTTTAATGCTACGTAAGTGGCCTGGGAAATTTTTACTTATTATTGACTCTTCACAAATTGAATAGTAAATTGATTTACTCATGGTTTTTTAATGAAGTACTAAATAAAATGTTGACAAATAATACACAATGTTATTTGGTAATCTTGTCACCGTAATAAATACCCTCCTTGGAAAATCTCTTCTTGCCTTCGGCACACAGCTTCTTTACTTGTTTCCAAAGAGGATCATCTGGTGTGACCCGAAGACAAAGATTGGCACTCCACTTATCGTAACGCTCTCGGGGGCTACGATCAATTATGTCCACTGTGTTATACACACGGACATCGAAGAAAATCGCACCGTCGGGCACTAATTCCACTTGACGAATTACGCCACCGACGTCCCGTCTCGATAAAGAGGACCACAGAGGACTGTTAGAAGACCTGGTTGGAACTGGCTCGTCGTTGTCTGACCCGAACAGGTCAGTCAATATCGAATCATTTGATTTTGTGACAGACTCACTGAAACAAATATAAACAATAAAAGTTAAATTTGTTTATTATGATAGAAAGAAAAAAAAGTTGTCACTTTGATACGTACCTAGTGGCCTTCTTTTTCCTTGAGTCTTTTGCGGTATTTTTACGAGATATCTTTGGTTTTTTTGGAGGTCTGTTGATGAAAAAGTAAATAGGTTGTTAATATAAACATTTAAAGTTAAGAATTTTAATTATTAAAAATGTTTAAATTTAATTGGTAAAAGTAATTTCTGTGAGTATAGTTTACTGAACAGAGATATAGGGTCAATTACCGGCAGTCTTCTTCGTCTGTTGTGATCTCCGAATTGAAGTCTATGTCAGCAGGCCCGGAAGCGGCGGCGTACTGTTTATTGAACTTTGATTCGGACCTAAAGCACAGTGGCGGCGTAGCATAGGTTGGCACCCGGGGCGACTTTCTATCGAGCACCCTCAAAATAAAACGACAAATATTAAACGTGTTTACGTGACTTTATTTTGCTAAAATACTCAATGACATTATCAAAATTTACTTTCCTCTCCTTTTCAATGGACAATATGGATAGACTGGAAAGTCGTGTTTGGCTCATTGTAGATCTTAAGTAAGATTTTATTAACTTTAATTTTGAGAAACTTCTTTCACAAGTAGCCACCGAAACACAAATAGTTAAAAAAATCTTAGACATAGAGCTAGACTTGGAACAGACTCAGAATAGTCCCATTTTACAATAAATTTCAGAAGCTCCAAGGAAGTCCATTGGATCGCTTCTTGAAGAGAAATGCTGGCGGCTTCCAAGTGGCGCCTCAGTCGTAAAATCTCCAAAATAATGTCCTCTGCAGAAAATTCATCATAGATTTTTGTAACTTTATCACGAAGTTCTTCTTCTGTTGACGTAAGTAGAGTTTCAGACTGAACAACACCAAATGTTATGAGAATATCATCCATTGCTTTGTAGCGATGCTCTAGTTCTTCGTAAAATCTATCAAGACATTCTAACATAGCTCTATGCAACTCTTCTGGCAATGTTAGTCCAACATCTTGGGACATTTCTCCTGGCATTCGTTTTCGGAATCTCCTCCTTCCTCTTCTTTCAACGGAGATATCCAAGTCCTCACATTTCTCAGTTGCGTAGGAAATAGCTCTTTCCACTATTTGTATACGTTGAGTTTGAAGAAAAATTTTTAGGGCTTTAATTTTTATAACACACTTTTCCAGCGATAGTCCAGATGTTTGGATATACTTTTGTGTCTGATTAACTTCTTCTAGGATTTCACACCAAAAAGAGAGGTAGCATAAAAAACTGAAGTCACATAAAGCTGGTAAGAGTGTGGATGCTGCTTCTCTTGTATCGACGTTTTCTCTGCTGCTTCTGGGATCACACATCTCTTCGAGTGTTGATACAAGTTTCTCAAAATTATTCTTCAATGACTTAACAGCATCGTGATGAGCACTCCATCTTGTCTCTACTAGTCTTTTGACCGATACGCCTACACTTTTCATTAGAATTTCCCATCTATGTGTGGATGACGAAAAGAACGTGTAAACTCTTTCTACTGTTCCAAAAAATGTTACACTTGAACTAACACTCATGAAAGAGTGCACCCCACATAGATTTAGCGAATGATTAGCACAAGGCATAAACAAAGCTTTAGCATTGTGTTCCTTAATGATAGATTGCACACCACCATGAACTCCTGCCAAGGTTGCAGCGTTATCATATCCTTGAGCCCGACATAGATGAATGTCCAAGTTATCACTCTTTAACTGCGTAAGGATATTTTCCGTAAGTTCGATTGCAGTCTTTCCAGCTATAGGGAAGAAACCTAGAAATGATTCCTTCACTTCAACTTGATCGCCTCCAATATGAACATATCTGATTACATAACTCATCTGATCAACATGTGATATGTCTGGTGTACTATCGAAAATAATTCCAAAATATTTAGCTTTCTTTATGTCGTCCAAAATGTTATTCTTCACTTCTCTCCCCAAAAGACTGATGAACTCATTTTGAATGTCTTTAGACAAATAAGAATCTACCCGTTTACTTTTTGTACAGGCGATAGCATGTTCAATTCTAATTTTGTGCTCTTTTAGCACTGGATCATATTTTGACAATAGATTAACTAATTCTAAAAAGTTCCCTCTATTGTCTGATGAAATCCCTTCTCTATGTCCTCTTAGAGGAAGATTTTGGCGTGCTAGGAAAAGAATGATATCCAAAAGGCGACTCAAAATGTCACGCCACTTCTTTTTTTCTTGGTCTAAGACCATTTGATGCTCATAATCGATAGTTTTTTGCAGCCTCAATCCATTCTCCAAGATTTTCCATTTTTCGAAACAGGAGAGATGGCCCTCAGAATTCTCGTGTTCAGACACTTTAGGATTTAGTTTCCACCATGAATTAAAACCGTTAACGAAACTCTGTTTTGTTTCATGGTGCGTGAATAGTTTGCAGCAAAAACAGTATAAGCTTTTTTTTATTGGAGAGTATACCATCCATTTTCTGAGTACTTTTTCTCCATTTGGTAACGCTTTATAAAACCATTCTGAATGAAAATGTCGGCTCTTTCCTTTTATTTTATCTCCAGATCTTTGGACAGTGTCTACAAATGGACCATCTCTGTTTTGATAGGGTTCACTTCCCGCTTTAACGATTTCAACTCTCAGATCATCAGGCATTGGTGTTGGCCAAGTAGCAACATCGAAATGAGTAGTTTCATGCACCTTTTCTTCATCGTTTTCAATTTGCTGGGATTTTTCTTCATTGTCGCTATTTCGCCCTTTTTCTTGGTCATATTCTTCTTGGTGCTGATCTTCGCCTTGTCTTTCATCTTGTGTATCAAAATTGTCAGGCTCTCTTCCCAGCGTCCCTTCATCTAATGCATCTTGGCTCCGTGTTTCTTCATCATCTGTTACATCAAGAAGGTCACTTTCAACACTTTGCTGTGATGTATTTGGTACCAGAGAAGCCGAAGGTGCTACAAATTTCAAAATTGATCCAGATAACGATTCACGTGCAAGTTCTTTTGATTTTTTATTTTTCTTTGCTGAAATCCACTAGGTCTATTTCTCTTCATAATAAAGTTATATTCTGTAAAGATCGATAAAGGAATACTTGTTAATTTTGTCAGTTTTTTCTCGCTCATTATCATATTATACCATAGTAGAAGTAAGACAAGCAGTATATCGGCAGTGTATTTTTCTTTTCTTTAAATAATAATAATAGTGCAAATTATGTTGGATGAATTTGAATTCTTAGTTCAACTATAAAAATATTAAGCAAAACCATCAATTAGTTTTGTTACAAGTGAAAGTAAATGCGCTAAGTGCGGAAAGCCTGATTTCAGAGCGGCCATCATAAAATAATCGTGCTGTGGCTGATACGCAGCTAAAGAGAGAGAAATACCGAGGAACTATATAGGCGGCGGCCTATTATGGCGGGTTTCGGCCATTTGTATGCATGAATTAAATATAACGTTATACTGCTCATTTTACATCGTCGTGATAAATTAATTATACGTACAATTTATACTGTCAACAGAATGTTAAATTCAGATCGGCCGAAACCTATAATTTAACTAGATACATATATAATTAATGTGGGAAAAAATAGGTGTATAGTTCAAATAAAATTCACCTTTTAAACTCTGTGTACTATCCGCCAATACACTCACTCCTTTATTACACAATATTTAGTATTTATTGACTTTCGTTTGAATTAATGTGACGCAACGCGACGCGACGGTTATAAACAATAACACTGACTGACCAACTGTCGTCAACTAATTGTCATTGTTTCGCGACCGGCATCCGTTGCCGGCAACGGACACGGGTGGGGGAGGGAGGGACCGAAATAAGTTGCCCCTTCCGCCCGCGATGCGCCAGCGGCTACTATCTGCGTGACAGAGTTGGTATTTCTTTGTCACCGTGTTGTCACCCCTTGATGCTTGGCACCCGGGGCGGACCGCCCCCACCGCCCCCCCCTTTACGCCGCCACTGCTAAAGCAATAGACAAAGAGTTGCTTTTAGATTGATAAACACTGTGAATATGTCTGATAATAACAGAGACATAGGTATAAACTTACGAACATTATTTCAGCGACTTTTATTCTCTTTGGCATTTATGAACAAGCAGAGAGACTTATTTGATCACTGTATGAACGTAATTGGTTCTGAATATTAAAGTAACCTCATTTATACTAAAATTTTCGTAATGTATGTACAGAAAAAATTGGGTGTGTGAAATTCACACATGTGTAAAAATTAAATCAGCACAAATGTGACAAACAATTCTATCAAATAACAAAAAAATAATGTTTAATTTATTCAAATTTGTTGCAAATAAAGGGTCTTCATCTTACAAAGCAATATCCGCACAGCGGCAGCGGTCTGATGTTATTACATACCTATCAATGTGGCATGATAGACTGGGAGTGAAATAAAGAAAAATAGAATGTACTAGGTGCTAACTTCTGCATGCATATAGCAAAGTCTATAAATTACCGAATATTAGCCTTCCGTATGTCAAAGGAAAAAACGAACCCTTATAGAATCACTTTGTTATCTGACAAAATACTTTGTCTCGGGTACGCGTAAAGGTATCGAGTTTTAAAAACTATATAATAGAAATACTTTGGTGTTCATCTGTTTATCAAGTTTCTTTATATCAGGAACTTAGATCTACGATCTCGTGAAGCTGTGTAAAAACAAACTTCAAAGTTAACGTAGAAAGGTATTAATTTGAAATTTCAACCATATACTCAAGTCTATGGCTCCATGAAGCTTTAAAAACTAGACAATAAGTTAATGTGAAACAAAAATAAACCGCTTATGTTGTGTACCTACTAATTTGTACGGAACCCTCGATTAGTGAGTCCAACTTTTCCGATGTTTATTAACTTTTCTTATTTCATTTTAAAGTTTAACTGAAAAAATATATTAAGTAAATATTTCTTGTTTATAGATATGTTAGTTGTCTTAAGCATCGAACGCTGTTTTTAATTATTAAAATATAATATTTTATATCGTACCTAGACTAACATCAAGGTTATAACCACTCACAGTGTTTTATGGAACCAAAAAAATTTACAAGTTCAGGTTCTTACATAAACAGATTATTTATACCCTAAAAAAGGCATGAGTTCAATTTACAGAAGTCTAACTCAAATACTTTTAGAGAAAAAAAAACATGAATTTATCGTGACCTTTGACCTATGAAATCTAGAATATTTTTTTATAAAGTGAATATTAACAATATATTTTTTAAATAAATATGTGTCAATCGGGCATAATCAGAGGTGTATAAACGCGTTTATTTAGCTTAAAAAAATGCATTGGTTTGGGAGCAGCAATTTTTTTTTTGTATTTCGTATTTATTGTTTTTTCTCCCTAAAAACGAAAAAGTGGAACCTAGAACTTAGATAGAAATAAACCTACGGATGTGGCCTATCATACATAAATAAGCCACGTGTCACTTTTGCGGCGTTTAGAAGATATTAATTTTTAAATTTTTATGCTAGGGTTGACACCGAGTGTTTTATAGAACCAAAAATATTTACACCTTAAGGTTTTTGCATAAATCAATTATTTAAACCCTAATTAAGGCAAGAGTTCAATTCCCAGATCACTATTTTAAGTAAAAAAAAAGATATGAAGTAGCAAAGTTTTTGAAATTTGCGCATGAAAAAATTAACAATTTAATTTCCTCAAAAGACGGTTCCATATCTGTCCATGAGATATTTGCCACTTGCTAAGGAATTATTGATGGCATAATTTTGTAATTTTATTTTATTTATAAGTGTCCTAGTTGCCAAGAAATATAGTTTTTTTAAATTTCGATTTTTAATTTTTTTCTCCAAAAATCGGCAAAAGTGGAACCTGGATTTAGTACAGAAAGGTTCTATAAGCCAAGTTCTATCACCCATAAAAAAATCAAGTTTCACTTTTGCGGTTTTAAGAAGTTATGACAGAATTTAGATAAAGGTCAACTTTCATGATCTAGGGTTGAAAAATATGTCCGTTTTTATAGTTGGCACCCGATGACAGTAACAGTTCATAAAATCCTCATGCACGGTGAAGAAATTATTGCGTCCAGTGCAGTGCCCATCGGTATGCTATCTGAACAAGCAGCTGAGTCCCGAAATAAATTCTGGCGTTCAGACAGAGAGCATCATTGCCGAAAAATGAACAGGAAAACCACAATGACGGACCTCTTTCACCGTGCCCTAGAATCATCAGACCCGTTTATTTCTATGGCAAATATCAGCCAACGTCGAAAATATTCTAAGCGATTTCCCTTGCCTTCAGCTGTTTGCGAGCTCTTACAACCAATTAATGCAGATCGATTGCCGTTATTCGAAGCAGAGGAAAGCAACCTAGAATTATTAAACGACGATGATTTATTTGTATAAAAGTTAAAGTAGAGGTGTTGCATAAAGAAGGTGCCGGCAGGTGATGACACTATCCTAGATTGATTTTAAATGTGCATGAATTTCTAAATCCAAAATTTCATCACAATCGTTAGATCCGTTTCCGAGAAACCAATTACATACCAATATATTTATATAGGTACATACAATAATTGCTCGTTTATAGTATAGGATGTGTGTTAAATTTTTTCAAACAACATAGTTTATTTTTTCGTTGCCATTTAGCGTGTAAGGCAAAATTAAAATGTGGTCGTCAAAATTAAAACATAAAGTATTCCTACATTATCACATCTACATTAGGTAGGTAGTATATGTAAGTATATTGTATTCGTCTATAAGTACAACACTTATTCAATTATAATATAACATAATTTATTCAATTGATTGACGGTATTAATAACAAAAAAAATTAACATTTTCATTTAACTCATAGTTGACCTTTGTGACAACCTTAGATCATGAAAGTTGACCTTTATCTAAATTCTGTCATAACTTCTTAAAACCGCAAAAGTGAAACTTGATTTTTTTATGGGTGATAGAACTTGGCTTATAGAACCTTTCTGTACTAAATCCAGGTTCCACTTTTGCCGATTTTTGGAGAAAAAAATTAAAAATCGAAATTTAAAAAAACTATATTTTTTGGCAACTAGGACACTTATAAATAAAATAAAATTACAAAATTATGCCATCAATAATTCCTTAGCAAGTGGCAAATATCTCATGGACAGATATGGAACCGTCTTTTGAGGAAATTAAATTGTTAATTTTTTCATGCGCAAATTTCAAAAACTTTGCTACTTCATATCTTTTTTTTTACTTAAAATAGTGATCTGGGAATTGAACTCTTGCCTTTATTAGGGTTTAAATAATTGATTTATGCAAAAACCTTAAGGTGTAAATATTTTTGGTTCTATAAAACACTGTGCCACTTAACCAACGACAAAATGCAAGTTAATCATTTGTCGTTCACAGAACTTTTCCACGTAGCGTCTCCGGTTTCAGGTCATGTTTTTTATTCAAAAATCAATTGCCTTTAACAAGGCGCATACCCGACTTGTTAGGCGTAGCTCCATGTCGTATGGTATTCTGAATTCAAATTTAAAACAATACGATCGAAAAAGATGGTAAAATGTATCAGGTTTAAAACTGCATCAACAGTTTTTGTTCAATCTAGCAGTCATATTTCGGTAGGGGCCATCGAAACCTAAACTCTAAGGTGGGCCAATAGATGTGTCCAGAAGTGTACAAGTTTTAATGAGTTTTTCATAATAGTTAATTTATCATTTGATAAAGACTGTTAACAAATCTACTAAATTATTATCAGTGCTTATGTATTAAACCTGTATAATTTTATTCCATATCAAATCTTTATTTTCAATCTTTAATATAAGACTTTTTTTCTCCAAAACCTTAATGGCCTTGGCACACCACAAAAAAAGGACGGCATAAGTAACGCCGGTGCGAGATGTGTCCATGAAGAATGCGCCGGTGATTGATGAAGGACGGAGGATTTTTGTCCTTTTCTAACTGCATAATTCATTTCTAAAATTTATGCAGTAGAACAAAAATTTAGGGTTACAGTGCCTACTTCTTAAAAAGTTACGCCATAATTTTTGTTTACAATAAGTGTTTTCCATAAATGTACAAATTGTGTTTGGCCCTCAAATGGTGATATAAGATTTTGTATGCCGTTGGCTCTGTATATGATTCGCGGATCACCAACAGCCGCTGCTGTATGAGGTTTGAAGGGAATATTCCAGGTATTTTGATTGGTGACAGCGGTTACGCCCAAAATACTTATATGTACACACCAATGCTTAACTCACAAACTCCAGCAGAGCACCGATACAATCGTGCTCACATCAGCACAAGGTATATCATAGAGCGCTTAAATGGAGTCCTAAAGCGGAGGTTTGCTTGTTTAGTCAGAGTTATGCAAAATGACTTAACCAATATTATAACTGTGACTTAAGCTATTTTGCATAACATAAGCATTCTCACTAATGAAGTATTTCCAGAGAAAGACAGTGTCAGCGAAGACGATGAAGTAAGTCCCTGTGCATGATATTCATGATACTGAAAGGGGTAGCATCATAAGAAGAGCTTTTATTTTAAGACATTTTAGTTAGGTAATAATTTAATAAAATAAAAATAAAAAGCCTTTTATTTCCTTGGTACAATTTGACAAAAAATACATTTAGTTTCTAAATTACTTAATATCTATCTTGTTTACTGTCTAATATTGCTTATCTAAAATTTATTAACTAATATATTAAGACAAAAGTTACTTAATTACTATTAAATAACCGTAAGGAACCCCTCTCAGGTAAAGGCCTCTTCCAAAGATAGCCACTTTTCTCTATCTTGAGCTAAACTCTGCCATTGTGGGCCAGTCACTCGTTTTATGTCATCGGCCTAACGTGTGTGTGGTCTTCCCTTGCGTCGTTTGCCCTGAGGGCGTTTCCACTTGGTAACTGTTATGGCCCACCGCTGGTCTTTAAGTCTGGCTACGTGCCCAGCCCACTTCCATTTTAATTTTTGAGCATGAGTAAAAGCGTCTAAAGCTTTTGTCTTGGATCTTATGTTTGCACGTCTTATTTTTTGAATTTTCTTTAAGTTCAGCATGCTGCGTTCCATTCATTGTTAAATTACCAGATATGGCACGCGTAAGTCAAGCATGGAATAAGACAAGTGTCCATAACTTTCTTTTTTAACTCTTATTGGCATCTCGCTTTTAAACACTTCTTTGTAGCTCCAATATTTATTCCATGTATTTTTTACTCTCCTTTCAACCTCTAAAATATTGTTGTCACTGTTAAATCCACTTTCTATGTATTCAAGGTTTTCATTATCTACTTTTATAATATTATATAAGTAAACTTTTATATAAGTAATATTCTTATTAAATAAAATATTGCATTTAGTAAAATGACACAAAGGTATTAAAATATCATTTATTTTTAGTTTTTGGTTTCGGCAGCCTCACGCAATGCTATATTGCAACGGAGCACTTCTTCAGCATTCTGCCGTTCAACAACTGGCTTTTTAGAATTTTCTTCAGCAGCCTTCACCAGAAACTCCTTCTTAGCAATCTTCAGCCTGTGGACTTCTTCTTCTCTCTCCTGAGCCCTTTTATAATTTGCCTCTCTCAGTGCAAACTCATCGGCGATTACTCGGGAACGAACATTTCGCGCTGCATAAAAGAAACGAAAACTAATTACAACTCATTGTATTACATACGGTACCCTAATTAGGCACCTACTTCATCTTAATAAAAATTTTGACCACATTTCAAATAAAATTATAGACACACTATCATCAAGTAACTTCAAACTAAATTAACTTTTTGTTATGAATGTCGTTAGTAGTTATCACTTCAAGCAGTTCAATGCATCTTAATATTGTACTGTTAATATTAATCAAATCATCAGTATGTTTCGTTAACAAATAGTAAACATTGTAATAGGCACCTGTTGTTTGAGATGATGCTGTGTAATCTGAAAGCCGAGAGCCAGATGTTCTGCTAATAGTCCTCGCACGTCGTGCTAAAATATAAAATGTTACACATTACTAAAAGTAATAATAAATAGACAGTAGTATTATTGAAGAGATAATCTCTATGACAGAGTTATTTGATTATGATTATGGCGTAACCCTTCACTACTAAAGAGGAGGCTCAGTCTAGCAATTGACTGTTACTGCCTGATGATGACTTGCAAGCATTGAGATTTTGTCACATACACTGTTAACAATTGTGCCATAAATTAAAAGTATTTAAGGAAAAAAGCACCTATAGCTGGTCTGGTTATTACCTATCGCAGATGGAACAGAGCTAGTCTGCTCAGAACCTGTATCCTGCGATCCTTCACCTAGGAAAGGCTGAGCACTCCCACTGGGTGTAGTAAAGCTATGATCTAGAACAAATAGATAATTATAGATCTAAATGAATAATATGTTTATATCAAACAATTATGTTATGCAATATATTAAAAATTACACACAATACCTGCTCGGAGGTCAACAATGGCATCCTCTTCACTTTGCTTGTTGACTGCAACTTGGTAGGCAACATCTCCACAGCTTTCAGATGACCCTTAGAATGAAAGAATTATTAAGATATTTAAGTGGAAAAGATTAAAATAAAAATGCTTTAAAGTTTAAGCTATTATACCTCGTCCACTTTATGTGGTCTTCAATATAACAGTGAGTGTTCGTGAATATTAACCGGCGCTATGCCTTGCCCCGAACTTCTTTATTTTGTTAAGGAAACGCTTGTAAGTTCAGGGATAAATATATATTAGAGCGTACAGAAAATTATAAAAACACAAACTTATAAAAACTTACTTCAGTGGAAAAAACATGACACACAACAATTTTTTGTCTATCTATCTAACATGTCAAACTAAATTCAAATTAAATTATGCTACCTGCATCTTCAAAAAAACGTTTAACGACATACTCCCGCCGTTGCTGATTAAAATCTGCAATAACCTTAACAAATCACATTATACATATCTACAAATCTAACCTAAGTGGAGCCCTAATGGGACGACCAGTACGTGAGACCCTCGAAGTCTCAGTTTGACTCTGAGGCACGGAACAAGGTTCACCACCAGTACCGGGCTGTGTAGACTCTTGCTCGCATGACGCCGAGACGACAATCGGGTAAAGTCTTTGCAGTGGCCTAACTAGTACCCCATTAGCTGTCTTTACCCTAGCGATGCGGCATAGCCCGTCACTACCCTCATAAATTTCTAAAACTCTCCCCAAAGGCTAGTTCACTCTTTTTGAACCATCCGACCCAATCAAGACAATATCCCCAATGTTTAAAATCCTGCTGCCCATCCATGCCTGCATCGTCGTTACTCTTCCTTTCGACTAACGCTGAAAGGTACTCATTTCGGAAACGAACTCTCAAGTCTTTTGCAAGCTTCTGGATATACTGCCAACGAACCGGCAAATCTTTCGAGTCTAAAAGATTTAAACTACTCTCGTTACCTTTACTGTTATTTATAAACATGGAACGAGAGAGTGGTTTTAAGTTTTCGGCACTATCCGAAATATATGTGATGGGACCAGCGTTGATGACTGCCTCTACTTCACATAACGCCGTGTACAACTCTACCTGAGTCAAACTTGCCTTGCCTAACATGCGACGTATGAGATTCTTAACTAGGCCCACCATACGCTCCCAAAACACTCCCCACCATGGCGCTTGCGGAGGTATGAAACTCCAATTTGTTTATACTAGTCTTAGATGCTACCTCCTCCCAATTGATCATATCTAATAAATTCTTAGCGCCATGAAAGTTCGTCCCATTGTCACTATAGATTACCCTAATGTTTCCTCTTCTGGCGATAAACCTTTTGTAAAATTTATAAGCAATTTTGGAATGAATTCATGAGTTCTCGATATCAAGTTGTTAAAACCTAAAAATTTATCCATAACTTGGAAAACGGGTTTATTAGCTTCATCCCGTTGATGATTGTTCCATTTAGTGTAATCAACATGATTGGCAATACATATATTTTCATAATCATCATTTTCTTGTCCAGATGTGTTATCCATCATCTTCTTGATAACAGTGTTCAAATCATCGGCCATTGTCAAGCCGTGGAATAATGGGACAAAATGCGTTTTAATTAGATATTCAGTGACAACAAAATATTCTCTCAACCTCCATGACATTAAAGTAAAAAATCGTCCTTTCAATTTTATTTCTCTCTCTTTCCCTTTCAGCCCTATTATAAGATCTTCGAGATTGAGTCCATGTTCATCTATTTCTTTGAGAAATTCTTTCCAATTAGTATCTAATTTCTTTAATAATGACTCTAACACCTTTTTTGATGGTACAGGTTTATTCGGATACGTTTTTATATGTTTCAATACCTCTGACCGGTCCATAGAATGACTTTTATCTGAATATATTATTGATGGATCTATCATATCAGGAATCTCAAAACATGCAGTTAAAGGTAACTCATGCCAGTGATCTCCAAAGTCAAGGATTTGTTTAGGAGTAGGCCATGTATTTTCTTTGACATGGTTGTATAATTGATGTGTCTCTTTAAGCTGGGTTACATCTACATACCACTTTTTTGTTTCTACAAATTTTGACTTCAATATAATAAAAGCTAGATCACTGGCACTGCACTCGCATACTCTAGATCTATATTTTTCTCCATTGTTACTTGATCATGTACTGCTTTTAATCCTTGATAGTCGGACGAGATAGCTGAAGTTCTCTAATAGCAGACATGATTTCTGTTTTATTTTTAAAATCTCCAAATAATGTCTCACCCACTTCAATAAATGCTTCCTTCACAACCAATCCATCTTCGAATGGTTTGTTGTGTTTTGCCAATATATGAGATACTTGAAATTACGCGATCGTAGCAGCTTTTGATTGATTGACAGGTCTTGTGAACATGGTTTGTTCTTTTTTCAAACAAGATATCAAATCACGTACTTTTCGTTTTCTTAATTCACTCTGTGGCGGAAAATCCTTTTCATAGTTTTTATGAACCGTTTTATGATGCCTCTCTAAGTTACCACGCTTAGGTATTGCAACTGACGCATGACAAATAAGACAAATGCACTTATCCTGCACCATACAAAAGAAAAAATCTTCCTCAAAATCGTTATTAAAATGATACGTTTTAGATTTCTTCGCTTCGCGTTTTAGATTCAGAATGACTCCAAATCCTGCAGGCGTAACATTTATATCGGCGTGAACGAAAGTCTTGAATATTCCCGTCAAACGCGCTGCCCGAAATTTCTGGAACAGCGGCAAGAATAAAAAATGAGGCTTTTCTTTGACAAGTACCGCGCGTTCCTTTGATAAAGCCGCCTTTTGCCGCTAGCAGAGTGTTATTTTATTACGTAATAAGTTTTTGTAGTTCAGTTAAGTACCTACTTATTAAAAAAGAACTTCTCGAGATCTACTCAAAAAGCACTCGCGATATACCGTTTGAGCACCCCTGCTCTTGGGCTATCTTTTTCATCGAATGATGGAAGATGATCATAGCCATCATACCTTTTGGCTACAGAAGGTGGATTCGGTCGACGGAACTTAGACGTATTAGGAGCCTGGTTCTCATCTTGTTCATCAGTATTAAATCTTCTTTTACGTTCTGGTGCGTTGACAAGACCATCTGACACTTGCCTTCGAAACTCCAACAAGTTCATTATTTAACTTTTGGGTACTCTTAGTTGTGATCGAATCTAACACATATAAACGCCAAGCATTCAAAATGGCCAAGGCAAAAAACTGGAGGATGACTTTTAGAGTCAATTTTTTCGTTTTTATGAAGTTTCGGTAGTATTCTATGGACTGATCGAGTATATCTTCACCTCCCATATTCCTGTTGTAACTTGCGATAACTTTTGGACATCTTACGTTTGTAAATGCTGATAGATTTTTATCCCATTGCTTAGTGAGACAAGAATCATCTTCTGATATACAATTATTATCCATTTAACAACATCAACTTCATTGCTAACGAATTGTTGAGATTCACCACGTTTCATTTTGCCATCTAGCCTGAAGGCCATGTTCTTCCTTTCAGGAACTCTATTCATCATTATTGATCCAGGACAATGAATTGGGTCTTCATGGGACCCAATTCCACCCAAAAAAAGTAAAAAGTCGACGAAAATTAAAAACATGGAGGTTAATTAAAAAGAAAAATAATACTTATCAATTATTTGTACTCGGCAACAGGCAATGTAAAATAATTCCTATTTGAGTCATGTTCAGCCATAAAATACAAATAGAAACATTCATTACATTCGGAAAATACATAATTAAGAGCACTACTACCACCCAATCTAAGAACAAAACAGTAATTCAATAGCAGTAAGACATATGTACTGTTCGTAGAAAAGCAAAGCAAGCGACTTATTTGTGACAGAAAAAAGGCTATAATGCGATGGACGATTTGCATCAACGCTGTGACTCGGCTCCTCTCATATTAAGTGAAAGAAACTGGTCGGTTTTACTTATAAAGTTGCGCTGTAATTGACTGTTCTATTAGCAGTTGCTTTTGAAGTCATTTTCTAAAAGTGTTAACATGTTTTAGATCGCGTACTGGAGGAAGGAGAACGTTCCAGCAAACTGAAGCTGCTAACCTAAAAGATCCACGAAATGAAGCCGTGCAATGCTTTGGAGTCATAAAAACGAACGAGAATGATCGGTTGAATACCTGTTAACATCTTTAGCCCACGTCAATTTATCATATAGGTATTTAGGACTTTTCGTTTTGATAACTCTAAAGAGTAACACTGCAAGGTGAAGTTTCCTACGTGCTTCCATTTTAAGTATGTTTGCATTTATTAAGAAAGGTGTGACATGTGTACGTGGAGGGATATAAATACAGAACCGCGCACAAGCGTTCTGTACCCGCTGTATGATTTTTAATAACTTAGACGTTAAACAAGAGCCACAAACTGTTTCACAGTAATTATGCCTTGATAAGACCAATGTGTCACATAATCAGACTAGTAGCTTCTTACACAGGTAAGGCCTTATCTTATACAGTAGTTTAAGTCTATAGAATGATGAACTAACACACTTGGTAATTTGGCTCTCGAAATTCTGATGGCAATCAAGAGTGAGTTCCAAATTCCTGGCTTCATGAATATGTTGTATAGGTTCTCTATTAAGTGTAATATTTAACTGTATGTTATCAAGTTTCTTAACTCTGCCTTTAGAAACTATTAACATGAACTTAGTCTTTTTTGGATTAAGAACGAGACAATTAAACTCACACAAAGCACTTATTTCCGCCAAGTCCTCATTTATTTTAGACACAGCTCTGTGCCAGTTCTGTGGTGGAAAAGGCAGATATAGCTGTATATCATCAGCATATAAATGGTATTTGCAATGCTTGATTTTTTTAACCATATCTGCACTAAACAGTATTTAGTGCATCGGACCGAGTATAGATCCCTGTGGAACTCCATGCTGGACTGGAATATGACAGCTTGGACAGAAGCAGCGCAGTGTTTAGTGTGTCGAAGGCACGCGAGAAGTCCAACAGAACCAAAATGCTCACATTACTCTGATCTTGAGCAGTAAGTAGGTCATCCACAACATCCAACAGTGCAGTTGCCGTGCTCCTTACGGAAACCCGTCTGTGAAACTGGGAGTATGTTATTGTCCTCGAGGTATTTTGTGAACTGGTTACTAACCACCCGTTCCAATATCTTACAGGCACATGGCAACACACTTATAGGACGTAGGTCGTGTGTAGCTGATGGCGAGCTAGTTTTAGGCAAGGGCTTTAATATGACATTGTTAATTCGTTTAGTTTCGTCACCAGTAGAGGTATAAGCATTTATTTCTCCCAAACTACTTTCAATCACAGAACAATATTACTCTAGGAGAAGAATGGCAACTCCATATAACCAAAGCTCACTACTGCCATCTTTTGTCTGCCCCTAGGTATGATCGCAAGCAGCTATGCCGCGGGAAAATTTAAAAAGAAAGCGCGGCAAATTTTAAACGCAGCCTACTAGAATGAGTTTACTTAGCAGCTAGGCACTTTCAGTTGTAAGAAAACTCAATATGCAGGCAGTGCTTTCGGTTTTTATTTTTTTACCACTTTATACTACTTTATATTGAGTTTTCTTACAACTGAAAGTGCACATTTAAATACGAAATAAAATAAAACAATGGATAAAGAAAAAAAAATATTTCAATTCGGTTAACATATTTTGTAAACTTTCCGGTAAGACTATTACATACTTAAATGACTCAAGAAACCGTGTATTACATTTGTGTATAGCATTTCAACCAAACAGACCTGTCGAATACCCCAGAATATGTTGTCGTGTAGCGACAAAATAAAAAGAAAGAAAACAGGTAGAGGTTATAAAATATATATATTTACAAGAATAAGAAGAATTTACAGGTTAAAAAAAAGAATAGGGGTATGGTATGTGTGTGTAGTGTGGGGTGTGAAGTGGGCGTGGGTCGTCGGCGATCTTCAGGGGCAGCTTGAACGGTAGGTCGTGCTACAGGCAGATGGACGGCGCTCCTTGGAGGCAGAAGCGCTCCTGTGCAGCCGTCTTAGTTCTTGGCCTGCCCTGGTGGTGGCTGGCGGCGCTGCTGGTAGTTTGGCCGGCGTATATCGGCCAGAGGCAGGCGTTGATGAAACGGCAAGAGTCGGTAGAACGCTGGCCGAAGTAGCTGGAGTCCAGGCGCAGTCCCACCGATAAGGTTGCGAGTACGTGAAGAGTAGTATAGTATTAGAGTTAGGAAGTTGTTTAAAGAGCCAATAGGTGCTAAAAAGCTTTGAGGTCTTTCTTGAGTCCCGGGGCAGTCGGCCCCGGGACAAGGCCTTTTATTAATTTAGAGCTCGGTAGCGAGCATTCAAAAGTTGAGTAGGCAACTTTTGCCGTAGAATTGAATGAATGATCAGGGAGGCTCGGCCTTTTATAGGTCCGGAACCATTTGAATTTAGACACGGTTCGAATCGAGCCAAAAAGAATCAAAGTAGGTGGTCTGTGGAGGTTGAATAGTCATAGACGTAGTTGGAGAGAGTATCCGTGTCATGGGTAGCCATGGCAACGGATAAAAAACATTAGGTTGTCATAAATGT